GGCATGGCTTCCATGAGAGGGGGATTGCGTCGGAGGTTCACGCTCGTTGTCAGGGGCTCCGGTTTTGGTCTGTGAAAAACTGTCTGCGGCGGGATCATGTGATTGTTCCGTCTTGAGTACCTCAAATTCTTGGTTGTTGCCGCTGACCTCTTTACTGAGAGATTCCAATTGACCGGGGGTGAACTCACACAACGGAATCCGAAGGGCGCCGGTAGGTCCTAGGTGACATTTAACCGTAAACCCTTGCTTCCTGAACCGCACCCGGAGTCCTGTCTCATTATCGAGGTAGATCACCGCCCTACACGAGATGAGGAAGGGCAGGCTGATCAAGAAGGGGGCGGCCACACTCTCGGGGTTGTCGAAGACGGCCGGCATGAAGTATGAGCCCTTCTGTCCAATGCTTGTCGGAACTGCCGCGACGACTTGGGTGCTCGAGATCCCATGGACGCTCTTGAAACGGTGAGTCTGATCTTTGGTCCTGACTGGGAGTCCAGGAGGGAGACGTTGAGCGAGTCGTTCAAGCGTCTGCCGGCCCACTACCATTCGTTGGCAACCGGTGTCGATGGTTGCGCAACATTAATCGGGATACGGGTTCGATCGGACGGGTTCGGAAACAAGTTTCGGACTTTCCCCATACATAACCCCAAAAATATCGTGATCACTACTGGAGCCACCTTCCCAAGGGTCACCCTGGAGTTCGGCCATATATGCACTCTCGACGTGAGGTGCCATCAGGCGTCGATCACTAGATCCCGGGCCGCCATGACCCGGGTCGCTCAGGCGTTCACCTCCAGGGAGAAAAGCACCCTCACCCGGGTGCTCCTCAAGGTGGCCGCAGAAGATGGCCTCTTCCAACACATGGGCCTCCTTCGGGGCTCCACGATCTCGGTCCTTGTCAGGGCATTCCTTGTGCCAGTGACCGGGTTTCCGACAGATGGCGCACTTGGTGACCTTCTTCAACTCCTCCACGGTCATAGTTCCCTTCCTTGAAGGGAGCATTGTGCCCCACCATCGTGAAGCTCTTGGTCTTGCCCTTGAAGGTGTTGGAATACCCTCTCGACAGCTCCTTCGCCTTCTTGGCCTTGAGGGTCTGCATGTAGGTCTTCTTCTTCTGCTGCAAAATGGTGCTCAGCACCTCCGCGGCCTCGTGTTCTTCGAGAACACTTCCATCACCGTCTTCTCCATCGTGTCCTTCTTCGTCTTCACCTTGGAGGTCTTGAAGCGCCTCCTCCACGGCATAGATCTCGTCATCATTCAGGTCATTGGGCTCGGCATTGATGTAGTGGGCAGCAGCGGAGGATGTCATCCGAGAACTCGTGGTCATAGTTCCTTTCTTTTCCTTTTCAATCCCGACCTGCGAGGCCTGGAGCTTTGTCTCGTGCTTGCGGATCCATTCCCGGATGTCTCCGGGTTTGATGGACCCTCGAGAGTAGTTGAGGAGCGACTTGATGTCGGCATCGGAGAGCACCAAGGCGTTGATGAGCAAGAAACCAACGTACCGTTCGGGAAGAACGACGGAGTGCTCAGTCACCTTCCTCATTGCCACGTCCCAGCGGCTGAAGAAGGCTCGAAAGTGCTCATCCTTGCCTCGGCGAAGATGGAAGGTGATCTTCGCCAAGGCGGCCAACAGGTCCTCCTCGCGGTCCTCACCGAAGTTCTCGGGGAGCTCCATGAGGGCGATCAACTCATCGCCATTGCCATCGCTGGTCATCCACGCCCGATCCCGGGCGAGATATTTCATGGTCTCGAAGGGGGTCTTCGTCAACTTCTGAAGGAGTAGCGGCCCTCATGCACGGGGACGGGCCTTGGTGGTAGCAAGCCACAACCTGGCCTTGATGGCATAGTCCTGAAAGGCCAAGGATTCGCCATCCCACTCTGGCGGTGGCCCATTGCTTCCAAAGCTGCTACCACCGTCGCCCAAGTCACTATCGGCACTCCTGGTCGAGCTGCCATGGCGCCGCTGGTGTTGGCGGTGTGGATACCGGGCTCGAAGAAATGCTCGGAACTCATCACTGTCAAAGGCCTCTTCGGCCAGTTCCTCTTCATCCAAGTCACCAGGGCGTGGCAGCCCTTCATCAAACTCATGGCCTTCCGGCCTCGACGAACCATCGGCTGCTGTCGCAGCCGCAACCGGGGGCATGGCTCAAAGCGAACCACCAACCAGGGACAACCCCAAAACACCCCGAGCCAGGTCCAAGGGCCGAACCTGGCTCCGCTACCACTGTGGGCAGCAAGACCTTTTCACATGTGCATTGTCCCCTGCACATAGGGCCGCGTCGGGCCACCTCGAGAGTTAAACATTTCGGAATCGTGATTTCATCCAAAGCGACATGCTATTCACAGAAACATTCACAGCATGAGAGCCACTTGTTCGCCTGTAGCACTATGCTTTGACAGCCTAGTTTGTCTCAAGGTGATAGTTACAAACACAAATCTTGTTCATTCAGCGCTTGCCGAAGACACGCGTGATGTAGGTGATCCGTAGACCACCCTCTTTGGAAGCCAGTCCGCTGGAAGTACAAACTTGGCGCAAAACGGCCACTGTTAAGCTGTTCACTTCCTGCTCCAGCCAATTCTTCCCATTCACCACACTGCCATGATGCAAAGCAGCCACACGCTCGACCATCTCATCCGACACCTTTTTCTCATGCGGTTGAACCTGTCCAAAGAAGTGTGCCATCTCTCTATAGAAGGATTGTAATTCTTGGCCAAAACTTAGTGCAACCATTTCTACTCAAATATTACACAGGAAAATTCAGAGCAGTGTTTAGTTTTTCCACCCACGAAATCTACACCCAGCAATCCCAATCGAAGCACAAAGTGATCACCGCGTCCCCACCCAACCTCTGGCAAGAACTCTGCCATGATCTTGGTGACCAACTCAGCTTTTGCTAAAGAGCGACCACCCTCTGTGGAAGCCAGTCCGCTGGAAGTACAAACTTGGCGCAAAACGGCGACTGTTAAGCTGTTCACTTCCTGCTCCAGCCAATTATTCCCATTCACCACACTGCCATGACGCAAAGCAGCCACACGCTCGACCATCTCATCCGACACCTTCTTCTCATCCGACACGGTGGAAAGCGCCATGATCAGATTGATTCCATGTGAGTGCAAACCACTCGGACCTTTTCTTTCTTGAGCCAAACGTTGCCAAGTTAATGGCTTGTTGAAGGGGCCTTCAAGAGTGCTTGGTACACTTCTTGTTTTGTGCGACCTGGTTTCCGACTCGCGCTCCCCCCGACCTTCAAGGTCGCTACGGCCAAAAACTCACATGTCCCTAGGCCCTCTTCGCACCAGGAACAGCGAGTAACCGATCCAGCTTCCTGGTCCTGAGATTTCGCTCCGGCGCCAGTCACTGTCGATCAAAACTCGACGACTCCATTCCTAGCCTTTCCAGGCGAAAGATATCCTCATAAATTCGAAATCGTTGCACTCTGGAGGTGCCATGATAGCGGATGAGCCATCGGACGCCGTCCATCTCGATGTAATCCCGTTTGTCACTCCGATGGACTGGTTTGTAGAATAGCGCTTCTTCTTCGAGGACGTCCTGCACAGCATCCAGCACCTGTGGTGTCCAGAACACCGAGTCCTGGAACTCCATTTGGTCAGGCCTCAGCAACATGGTTGGCGGAGCTTTTCCCGGCCTGTTCCAAGGGTCCGCGGCGGGCTGTTGCATCCTCGGGAGCCTCTAGGCTACTGTTATGGTCCCTTGGGGGTTGTTCTTCCGAGATGACGTCCCCAGGGTTTTGCGTGCGGCCCGACGCATTGGAATTCATGGCCTCTTCTTCATTTCTTGCGTTTTCTTGACTGGTCCGTTGTTGCGACCCGGTCTGGTCTGTTTGTTCCCTTGCCGGCGTCAGCCGCAGGGTGCACAGGCGAGGTGGGGGTTGAGAGGAGTGTTCATGTGACTTCAATTCATGTTGAATTCCCCTGTCGGAAAATTGTGAACACTCCCCCGGACCCTGACACCCGGCAAAAATCCCACTACTCTTCACTACATAGGCCATGCCAATCGCCAAAGCTGCCACCAATGCCGCCTGCAGGAAACGCTAAATCAATCTGGGATTCACGATGGTCTCGGCGCTTTTCTTGCGAGGGGATCACACTGTGCGCCCAGTGGGACGACACAGCGATACACACTTAGTCACAGGGTTTTCAGTTAGCCATAATCCACAGCGAAATGGATGAGGGAAACGCGCGGCGGCTGAGTCAGCAACATCACTTGATGTGTTTGAACATCGGTTGGAAATTCACGCAAATCAGCAGCTGCAGAAAGCGGCGGTGGGAAATGTTTTTGGGGTCTATCGTGAGAACAATCATGGAAACAAAACACAGCAGCGGGAGCAGTGGTGTCAGTGTGTTGATTGCAGGTCCGCCAGACTGATCAGGTCTGGTATCACCACCGATTGCAAGTGTCTTCGTTGGCAGGAGACTTGCAATGGCGCTCCTGCCCCCTGCAAGACGAAAAACCTATCAAAACTCCTGGAGGCGGAGGGTGACGCACACACACACGCACACGTAGATGGTTGCTCGCAAGAGCTAGGTTCAGAATGAAGCTCCCCTTGACTTGAATGAACTGAATGGCGCAGGAACCGCAAGAAGGTGTTGTAACAAGTTTTCCTCAGCTCATTGGACCTTTAATGCGCAACACCGCATTGGACAGCTTGAAAAACCATTCAAACATATGTAGCAGGTACGTCAGTTCCGCGTCCGGAACTGATATCCTCACCGGGTATTGCCAGCTTCGTTGGTGGAGAAGCAATACCGGTGTGGGTGTCTCCACCCCCGCCTCTTTTTTGACTCGCGCTGTTTTTGTTTTTGTTTGGTTCCCAGTAGTAAGGCCAGAAGCTGCTAGTAGCGCCCAGCCCTCTAGTGGAATCCACGGCAGACTTACCAGGTACAAATCTTGGAAAGAGGTGTTAACAGACACACACACACACTGGGCTGACGTTGTTTGCGGTTGGACGTGGGATGTTGCGCCAACGCCAGCCTTTTCTAAGGAGTCACCTGTGGCGGCGAACGCTTCAGGTGCAAACTTTTCAGTTTCCTTCATCGAGCCGTTGACTGCCGCCTACTTGACCCTGGGATTGGGCCTGGTTGCGTCGCGGGAAGGAAAGCGCGCAAGTTCCCTGACCCTGCGGCCCTTCGCAGACCAGTAGGGATCCAACGTCAATTTGTGTTCCTGAAACCGCCTGCGAAGGGGTCTCCGCCCAACTTCAAATTATCATCGTCACCGTCATCATCATCATCATCAAACAGGTGCACAGACGCAGGCGATGCCTCGGCTGTAACCCCTACGACAATACAGGTGTTTGGATACGCAGGTGTTGAATGTGTTGAGATACAGGCGCAGACACCTACTTGGTGGATGGCTTCGGGTTATGGAACTTATAAGTTAGTTATGGAAATTCAAAACTTATAGAGACTTACAAATTAAGATATGTAGCTGTTGAATTCGTCCAAAAGTTAACTACGTTTAACTTATGAAACTTTTACTTTAATAAGTTCTCGGGACTTAGCCAGAGCCAGACACTACATTTTCACTTTTTTCTGACAAGTCAACAAAACAATGTTATTTTTTGCGCAAAAAAGTGGTTTTATGCTTATTGTTGTGGATCTCAATGGTGGGAGCTGCCGTCAAAAGCTCTAAAGCTCACAGGGTGTTCTACTGCTACCTGCACTTGCAAGCCTCACGCAAGGGATACGTCAACATGAATTTCAAAAGGGCTTGATACGATCGTATGCCATTTGTCAGTCGATATTTAATCAATTTCCAGCGCGGCCCCATTAAAGCAGACTGAATTCCCTATATGGAACAATTATATGGTAAGTAAATGCGTCTCAAAGGTTTCAATTTGCCGCCTCCCTGCAAAAGGATTCATTTGTGGTAGGTTTGGTTAAATTCATACACGCACACACTACGGCAATTCTTTAATTAAATTGATCAAATCTTGGTGACCAAGAAAGTGAAGAAAAATGCCAACACACTCAAGAATTTGCCAATGTAGGTCGATGTAGCCTAATGGCCTAATGTATAACCCAAATACGCGAGCGGGAGTCCTTTGACTTGAAAAGGCCAGCTTCTGCCACATGGTCCGCATCTCCGCTCAATAAGGATGGCAAAGTGCCAAGGTGAGCCGCCATGGAATCACTCCGGTCCGTGCCTCGGAAGGTTTCTCGAGGCTCTGCTGAATCTGCTGGTTGGGTCTCAGGGCCCCAAATCGGACGATCAAGCTGTGTTGTTGCAGCAAGGCTAACATGCAAGTCAACATGGTTTGGCCAGAAGAGGAGTTTGGTCCTGACTGATCTCCAATTGCTTCTTGGTGGGATTCCATTGCAAACATGGAAATCGAAGGAGGGGGGGTTCTAGGAGGACCGTCAGAAACTGGTGCGAGTAGTTTCTGGACTCGATGGAGGAGCTCCTCCAACAAGACCCTCAGCACCTGGATGCGAAGGGGCACGGTCCTCTCCGTAGGAGGTGTGGAGTGCCACTCGGTGGTGCTCTTCATCATCTTCACCATGGGACTTGGTTCCGGTGTGTCCGGGTGAAGGGCCCTGCGCCGACGATCTCCCAAGGCCAGAGCCACTTGTTTGAGAACTGGGCAAGTGTGCGTCTTGGACTGGAACTCTGCTTTGCAGTATGAACATGGGGAGGTCACACGAGCTCTAGTAGTATTGGGAAGGACTTCATGAACCAAGTTCGAGGCCCCCACATGTTCCCTGGCCATATGTGCACTCATCTGCTGAGTACGCGCCGCCCAGCAGCCGCGCAAGACACACCTATTGGTCAGGAAGTTGCACAGGACTTCATTCTCCTTCAAGAGCTGAAGGTCGCCAGAGTCGAAGATGTTCAAAAGGCGGCGTCGGTGCTGAGAGAGGACCACAGGCGGTGCCTTGGAGAGTTCAAGGGAAGTGCATGAAAGAGAAGAGATGTGTGGTCGAAAATTCTGCCAACTGATGAACGCTACACCGCAGTGTCTACAAATGGGTCGTCCATCGACTGCGTCTCGTGAGATTTCCACGGTTGGTCCAGGCAGCTGCGCAATACCATGTACATGTATGAGATGTCTGCGCAAAAAGAAATGAGATTTGAAGTTCTTGCCACAGCGATGACAATCCAAGCCTGCGTCCGCCAGGCTCTGTGGATCATCAGCATCCTCAGTCATCAGCTGGTCCTGGTGCCAGCAGGTCAGGAGTTCAACCGCGAGATGGAGGTGGCGCACTAATGACAGATGGGGAATGTCTTGTGGCATGAGTGTAGCTTTGCGCTCCTCCCAACGAGTAAGCCGGGACTGCAGCCGCTGCAACAAGATGCTCACTGGATGCTGCAGACCATGTGCGCGCAAGGAAGCACAATGTGAAAGGCGCGCCCAAAAAAGAATGGTCCCCACCAATTTGTCGAACTTGCATCATCATCTGTTTTTGAGAAAGAATCAAAGATTGTGGAGAGACACCTAGTGCATCAATGCCATAGACCACAATAGAACACACACAGGTGGTCCCCCATGCATGCTTCTGCTCCAATGTCAGGCGGTTACCCTTCTTGAGCCAGGGTGCCATTTGACGAAACCGTCGAACGCAGGCCCCCATCCGGCGTTGCATGGACAAGTTCAACGTGTTTTTGTAGCCGCTCATAGTGACCAGTGACTCCAGGGATCAGGAGAAAAGCCTGTTGTCTTGCAGGTCCAGCTTTTCCAAGCCCCCTTGAGTTCCAGGAGCGCGGCTGATTTGGAGAGATTGACAGTCATCCCCATTGCACTCAGCAAATCCAGCACAATTCCAAAGCATCTGAGACCATTTTCAATCTGTTCAACAGAGGAGTACTGGAAACAGAGATGGCCGTCGTCGACGTAAAACGTGCAGGCTGATCTCATCCACTCCGTGGAAGTTGCACATGCAACCTGTTCCAAGAGGAGAGCAATGTACGAAGCCCAGAAAAAGGGAGCACCGCGGCAGCCTGTCTAACCCCGCGATCGGTGTTGATGGAGGCGCGCAACCCTTTGTAGGTCAGGATGTACTGGGCCCAAGAAAAGTTTGCGCCCTCCAAACAGTTTCGGCTTAGGCCCCTCAGGAGGCGTCAGCCGGCTTGCGTTGTAGCTCCATTTGGCACTCAGATCCTCGATGGCCTCCACATCACCAAACACGGCAAATGGCATCCCATGTACCACGTTGTGGCAAACAAGCAAATTGTGGATAGGCCACCAAGTATGGAAGAGCATCCTTACGAGCATGTTGCACAAACATGAACATGATGGTGTTTGCAGTGCACTTGGTCGCAACGCATTGGATTGGACTGGAGCCTTGTTGGGCTTGGTGAGGAACACACTCCAGCCGCTGCGCCATTCGTCAGGCAGCTGTCCAGCGCGAAACCAAAGGTCACACCATCCTGTCAGGAGGGAGCTTAAAGGAGAGGCCAAGATCTTCATGTGTGAAGGTACTGCTTTCCGGCCATCCACCAGTCTCAGTTCCTTCTCAAGTTGATCATCCGTGAATGGAGACGATGCAAGGGAGAAAGGAGGAAAGGGAAAGGTCGTCGTGTATGCGCTGAGCTTTTGCATTCCGGTGAGAGAAGTTGTCCATGGGGTTCACGAAGTTAAGGTCTTCGATCAAAACACTTGGGGGTCAATTGCTGAACAGTGCGGAAGTAGTGATGAGTGCGATTACCTTGTTCACAATCTGTTGGACCCGTTCACGTCTATGTTGTTGAGCTTGTTTACGCGCCCGTTTCCTCCATTGTTCACGTTTGATCGCCCGTCTCCATTGGCAGAAGACACCAAGCAGCCAAGAGCCATCAGCAGGAGCGCTCCAGGGTGCAGCCGGCCAGGAAAGTGCCCAGGCCCATTTGCACTCCGGTTGATCCTGAGGGGCAGGTGAAGCACGGAAGGTTCGGCATGCGTCCATGAGAATATCGTTGAGAGCTGAGAGATCAGGTTCTTGCGGGGAAAGTTCCTGGAGCTTGCACGTCGCCGAATATTGAAGGTCCTGCCAAGCGGAAACGTCCTCCGTTGTGTTCTGGAGAGTCCAGTGCTCGGTTTCGGGGCATAGAAACATCTCCATGGGATGCCGCCTAACAGCGGAACATGATCGCGATGAAGGCCCATCATCCTAGGCAAGTCATGTATGTATGCCACCTGTTTGGAAGCACTGTCGCAATCTCGTTGCTGCGCCAGAAAAAATCAATCCTTGAGTGGGCCTGTTTGGGCCCGACGTATGCGGCGCCAAGTTCACCAGACCACGTACAGGATGTCTTGAAGAACAGGTCGGTCAATATGAGCCGGTCCCTTCATGCGACAGTGAGGAATGTGGTCCAAACCTCCTTGCGGCTGTCCAGCCTGGCAGGGTCTCCCGGGGTCAAGGGGTATTGATACAGGTTGATGATGCCCACGTGGATGGTACCTTTGTACAGGCGAATGTGTTGCAACGGACTGGTCATAGGGGTCTGGTCAAAATGTGCGAGAAACAACAGTCACCAACCCGCCACGTCCTTGAGTGGCGCCAGAATGAAAGTATGCATATTTATCGCCCATCCATTCACCACTAAAGTTCCAGCCAGTGTCTTGGAGGCAAAGACAGTCCAGGGATTGGTTGCGCAGCCACGCTCTGATCCAATCCCGTTTGACCATGCTGAGTTGACCTGTCTAAATTTGGAGAAGGGTTGACAAGGTGAGGAGCTTGAGAAAGAGACACATCTTGGCAATCGTCGTCAACAACAATCCCACCAGCATGAGGCTCCTCATTTGCGTCCTGGCCGGTGGAGAAATGAGGCGCTTGGTTGGCGTTCAACTGTGACGAGATTGTGGTGACTCCCAACTGTTGAGCCGACAAATAACGGCCCCTGTACCACGTCATGCCACGCAGCGCCGCCCGTTTCAAGGCGCGCGCGTAAGCTTTCTTGCGAGGCGCACAAGTCCGTGCGCACGAGGGGAGTGGAACAGCAACGGAAATGGGTCGAGTTCCATCTGGCTTCGTCGAAGCTGCATGCTGAGGAGTCCATGTGGTCTGGACTTCACCTGCTTTGATGGACGAGCAGGAACCCTCGGGCCACCACTCTTTGGCATGAATGTTCCGCTGAAAGGA